GTTTGTTTAGATATTAAATTAGGTTTCTATGCAACATGAAAATTTGGTCCAAGATTAAGGAATTAAGTTGGTAACCCAATAGATTAATGAAGTTGTCGTTGGTGTTTGGTAGAAGTATTTTTCCCTTATATAATTTGTTTTGCCTTTTTTGGATGACTTGTTTATGGGATTCATTTTGCTTTTATGATATATCATGTAATAAATCCAATATTCCCTTGAATTTTTCATTGGTGGTAGAAGATTGTAAGATTCTTTTAATATGTACAAAATTTCAGTGTTTAACCATTGTAATTCTTGTGTAGAATGTGTTTATTTGTCATTTGATGAGGTTCCAGTGAAATTTCTTGGTATTGAGATCGTTTAATGCTGCAGTGTGTTGTGTAACTTGCATAGGGGCAGCAGATCATAATTCAAACATATACTGTTAAACATAGCAGACAACAAACGTCTATTATGTTTGATCATGATCTGTTCCAAGCTTTGTGGCTTTAATTTTGGGAGAAAATAAAGACAAAATCTGTCAAACATTTGGATATGTTTTTTTGATAAACACACTACATACATTGGTTTTACTACAACCACACTCTCCCATAGACTTACCTGTCACTTTTCTGATCTTAGTTCCATTAAACAATATTTCTTAGCCATGTACATAATATTAGATAGATATTAGTTGATAACACAACAATACTCATACATACACACAGTAAAAAGAAGCTTAAGATATTGGAGGCCATCTACATTAAAACAAAGCAAAAATACACTCAACAAAATTACATTTCAAATCAGTCACAACATATTACAATGCATTTAAACACATGGTTCTGTTGATAACATTTCTTTCTCTCATGTGGTCATGTATGATGTTATAGAACCGCATTACGAATTCATGACCTGTGTCTGCTATTCCACGACCATTATCATCATATAGCAAACTTCTATGTAAACATAACAGGATGTCATCTTTGATGGTGAATATCTTTGTTGAAATGTTCATATACTCACTGTGATGATGACTGATGATGAGCTGAAAGCTTAGATCGATGAACAACATAATAAAAAAATATCCAAATACTGGACAATTTTTGTCTTTATTTTCTCCTGAAATTAAAGCCACTGTGGCAGTTTTGTGTAAAATCCACAATAACCAAGATGTATAACTGTCAAAAACATACAAGAAGAAACAGTGAATTTTTCTAGTTATGTTATGGAAATAAATAATTTCATGAATTATTTATTTTATTATTGCTATAAACATGATATTTAGTGGGTACATGTGTTTGAAAAGACATCTCTGTTTTTTAAACACTGTAATCCAATGTTTATTGGCCTAGTCTATCAAGAGTCTTAATAAAGAAAATGTGCCTTTTATTAAAACTCTCAAAATGCCTTGGCTGGTAGATGTTGAATTATAATATTTATTAAACAGAAATGTCTCCTCAAATGCTACATGAATCAAGTAAAAGTAGCATAAAGACAGATGATAAATAAAATACTTTAATTCCTTAGAAATTATTTATTTCCATAACTAGAAAAATTATAAATAATTTTTATAAATAATTTCAACATCAAAGTTTGCTTTTTGAAATTTCAGTTTCATGCAAATTCAGTTAAAATTTAATTTTCATGTAAATTCAGTTGTTGAAATTTCATTTCCATGCAAATTCAGTTGTTGAAATTTCATTTTCATGCAAATTCAGTTTTTTGAAATTTCATTTTCATGCAAATTCAGTCAAATATTTTGTACAGCCAATAAGTAGTTTTGTTTATTTTTGAAAACAGAACATAGAAAATGAAATTATAAGAACTCTGAAAATAAAAAAAATGCTTATATACATGCTAAGCTAAAATGCCTTTAGGTGAGATTGAACTCTCAACCTCCTGCACTGATGCCAGCAATAATCAAAAGAGAAATAAAAGAAACAGCCAAAAAAGGAAAAAGTTCAAATCAGAAAGCAATTTTAAAATCATTTGAAGCAAAGCCTTTTTGTCTCATTCTAGAAAAGCTTATGAGAAAAGCTGTATGCTGAGGGAAAAATTAACTTTTAGGACTGACCCATCAATTGTGTGTGTATGTCTGTTTGCATGGGTATAAGAGAAAAATGTATATAAAATGTATTAAAAAATCAGAAAAGGATATACAAATAATAAAAGGGACTTCAAATTAAATTTCAGGCATTTATGTGTCACCAGAACCTTCATGATCATAATTTTAACCTAGAAAGCTGAAAATATAACTGAAAATGCCATGAGTTACAAATTCCCAACAATTAATTTATATCCATGCTATTTCAGTTTGTCGCCTGTTCTCTCGAAATTTGTACTGAAACAATGTAGGACACAGAATGACCAGGCTAGTTCAGTTTGTCATCTGTTCTGAAATTTGTACTGAAACAATGTAGGACACAAAATAATCAGGCTATTTCAGTTTGTCACCTGTACTTCTGCAATTTGTACTGAAACAATGTAGGACACAAAATGACAAATGACCAGGCTATTTCAGTTTGTCCCTCTTCTTCAGATTTTCACCTGTTCTTCAGAAATTTGTACAGAAACAATGTAGGACACCAAATAACCAGACTATTTCAGTTTGTCACCTGTTCGATTAATTTTACAATTGAATACTTGAGGCAAGAGGGACAGAGGGGAAACAGTGAGTAACCTACCTAACAAGCTTGCATCAATGGATGGCAGAACAGGGAGTGGGAGGGTTATAAGAAGACAAATATTTACTAAATCTACAAATGATAGTAAGTTGTGGAAAGCTATGATCAGCCATGTCTTGAAGAAAAGAAGAAGATTTGTTATTATTTATTATTGCTATATTTTATGATAGAAAGGAGGAAAAAGATGCCAGTAGATAATAATGGCTGGCCACTCATATTCATGAATGCCTGTCTACTAGGGTACCTAGCCAATCACTGTTGCAGATTATGTTTACATTTATGTTTGTTCAACACCCACAGATCCTGCCTGTTGTTTATACTGAAACTATGCTGAGCAGACCTTGCAGTGGGAGAAAGCACATTTTCAAGATCAACAGTTTAGACAAGGCCCATACACTCAAACTCTTGGTCATGATGACTTGTGACTGTGTGCCCCAAATAGTTTCATTCACCCAATTTCACTTACAAGGCTTGGGCCAATCCATGGTATGGTTTTTAGGCACTTTCCAAAGGTGCCACATGTTGGGATTACCTTCTGAGGCTGATAACAACAAGAAGCCATCTTCTGGACAAATTGACCATAGTGATATTTGAACACAGGTCTCATGATCAGAAAGCGAACATTCTAACCACTCAGTCATGTGTCTATAAATAATTAATATTCAACTGACAAAAAAGGGTTTTGGCAGATTTTGTCAATATTTTGATGTTTGTTTTAGAACCTTATGTATTAATGTGTGTTTTCCTGCCCAATTATACAAATGTATAAAGCAAGCAAAATGAATAACCAAACAGAATCAAATGGAACAAAGAAACAAATAGAATTGGGAGAATTGTATTAATTAAATTTATTTATTATATTTTCTATTATTTTGTATGTCTGTACTTTTATAAATAGACAGAAAAGTCACTACAATTCACGTTTTAAGAATGATATAGTTTAACAATGAAACCTTAGCGAAATTACTTACAATGAGTGCGTATGTACAAACTACAATATATGTATATCATTCTATTTATTTTTCTCAGTCTGTTCATATCTATCTCTCTATCTATCACATTGATCTTCATTATCTATCTATTTATTTATCTCAGTGTGTTCATATCTATCTATCTTCATTATCTATCTATCTTCATTATCTATCTATCTATCTATCTCAGTGTGTTCATATCTATCTATCTTCATTATCTATCTATCTATCTATCTATCATTATCTATCTATCTATCTCAGTGTGTTCATATCTATCTATCTATCTATCTATCTATTTATTTATCTCAGTGTGTTCATATCTATCTGTCTATCTTCATTATACAAACTACAATATATGTATATGTACAAACTGTGTGCATGTGTGTTTGTGTGCATAAACTAAGTGCTCAAGCCTTTGGGCAGTCATCCATTTTGATATGATCACTATGAGTTCAAAATTTGGAGACAAGAATATAATAGGATTATTGGCCACAATGAATTTGTTCTAATTCTTTGTTAATTATTATATGACAATGTAAACTCTTTATAGCTGCATTTCAAAGAATTTCAAGATGAAATACCTTTCAATAACAGCAATCAGATATAAGCAGGAAATAATAGAAACAAATTAATCAAATACTTTGAAAGAGAGGAGGAAGGAGAGGAGGAGGAGGAGAAGGAAATAATGCTAAAATTAGCAAAGATCAACAAATATCTATCTATATTAGCCAGTTCCTATCTATATATCTATCATTCTATCTATTTTTCTCAGTCTGTTCATATCTATCGCTCTATCTATCACATTGATCTTCATTATCTATCTATTTATTTATCTCAGTATGTTCATATCTATTTATCTATCTATCTCAGTGTGTTCATATCTATCTATCTATCTATCTCAGTGTCTTCATATCTATCTATCTATCTATCTATCTATCTCAGTGTGTTCATATCTATCTATCTATCTATCTCAGTGTGTTCATATCTATCTATCTATCTATCTCAGTGTGTTCATATCTATCTATCTATCTATCTATCTCAGTGTGTTCATATCTATCTATCTATCTATCTATCTATCTCAGTGTGTTCATATCTATCTATCTATCTATCTATCTATCTCAGTGTGTTCATATCTATCTATCTATCTATCTATCTATCTATCTCAGTGTGTTCATATCTATCTATCTATCTATCTATCTATCTATCTCAGTGTGTTCATATCTATCTATCTATCTATCTATCTATCTATCTCAGTGTGTTCATATCTATCTATCTATCTATCTATCTATCTCAGTGTGTTCATATCTATCTATCTCAGTGTGTTCATATCTATCTATCTATCTATCTATCTATTGTAACCTAGAAAGGGTTACTGAATGAGGAATAACCAAAATGGAGACTGGAAATGAAATGGTAATCTTTATAACATCAACAAAATACAATACTTGCCAGCGGTGTGAAGTAGGTAAACCATTGCTAGTGTTGGACTACTTAGACAGCATATTAGCCCCCCCCCCCTTACAATAGTGCCCAACATATTTATGAGGATTGGAACATACTCATGAGTGTTCACCGGTATGGTATATAACACTATCTATTTTTTTTAATCATTTCATCCCAAGCAAGGCAATAAAACCACTAAAATACATGTGGTTACTGTGAGTGTAAGGCTCTGGAAAAAAAAACATTATTAAGGAGAGTGAGGATCAGGATTCAAGGAGACAGAGTATGACATTGCATTTAAATTTTTGAATATCGTAGTTGAGAGGAAAGCAAAAAGCCAGAAGAGAGTTCCACAAGTGAGAAATGTAAGAGAAGAAACTTTTAGCATAGAATTTATGGTAATTTCAACAGTAAACTGATGAGCTATTGCTACCTATCTAGTACTATATTTAAATTCAAAAAGTTGGGGTACCAATAAAGAAAAAATATTTGTAGAAAAGGCACAGGAAAGCTACATTATGGTGGTGGGAAAGTGACTGAAGTAGAGATGCCAGGTCAGCACTGATGATATTGCAGATTTTTCTTTGGATTCTGACAAGTATCTCTACATACATAGCTGAAGCACCTGACCAGATGTGCCAGCAATATTCAATATATGGGCAAGTATTAGACTTATAAATGTGCAACATTGATTCTAGCGAGAAAAATTGTGTAGCATGACACAGTGAACCAACTTTTCTACCGGCAGACCTAGCAACTGATTGAATATAATCTTTTCACTTTATGTCAGTGGAAAACATTAGATCAAGAAGGTGCAATGAGTTGCTCTCCTGGAGGTTAGCATCAGCCATACTGATAAAAGGCAAAAAAGGTTCTCTAAAATGATTCAAGGAAAGCAATTTTGTTTTCAAGGCATTCAAATTATCAAGCCATTTCTTGCCTCTGTTCACAACAGATTGAGGGTAATTTTCCAAATCAGCTACCAATTAGACTTTATTGAACCTATCAGACATACCATTAAGAGAGGAGTAAATAATTTTGTCATCAGTAAAGATACCAATTTGAGAACTGATGACTATTAATTTTCTGTCTGTCTTCATTATTTATCTATTTATATTAATTTTCTCTCTATCTTCATTATCATTCTATCTATCTGTATTCATTTTTCTGTCCATGTATCTTCATTATCTATCTATATTTTTTATCTTCACTATCTACCTATATATCTATCATTCTATCCATAGTCATTGTCTTTCTATGTTCATTATCTATCTTCATTTTCTGTCTCTCTTCATTATATATATATATATATATATATATATATATATAAAATAAAGATAAAGAAAATAAAGATAAATAATGAAGATATATATATATATATCTTCATTATTTATCTTTATTTTCTATATATTTATCAATATCTTCATTATCTACCTTTATTTTCTGTCTTCATTCTCTATCTGCACCTGTTCATATCTATCTATCTATCTGTTGTGAGGGAGAATGTTTCCCTACAAGTTTGAACTCGCCCGTCAGACAAAAGACATAAAAATACTCCTACATCAAGAGGAGTAGCAGGAGGAGCAGTAGTCTTTGCTGAAAACAGTTAGTCATTCACAGCTAAGCATTCTCTTCCCTAGTTTCTATTCTACATTATGTTTTCCTGTACCAAAACCAATTCTGGTTTTCTACTATCATTTTTGATAACTCAGTTACAACATTTTCATTATCAATCATTATTTTATTATCAATTTTCCATTATCAATCAATTTATCTTCAGTATTTATTTATCTATTGATTTTTCATTGTCTATCTACCTATCTTTCATGTATCTATTTATTTATCTATCTTCATTTTCAATTTTCATTATTTATCATCATTATCTATCTTCATTTTCTGTCTATTTTCATCCTCTATCTGCCTAATTAAGCCTGTTCATATCTTTTATTATCAAACAATCTATATTTCATTATCTATCTTCCATTATCAACCAATCTATTTTTCATTATCTACCTATCTCGATCTTTCATTATCTATTTATCTATCTCTCATTATCTACCTATCTATTTATCTATCTCTCACTATCTATATTTATCTATCTTCATTTTCTGTCTGTCTTCATTATCTATCTATCTATCTAATTTTGATCTACATTGGGTGTACCCTTGTTATTATCTTGTGCCAAATGATGAGATAAGCAGCAATGATCTACATTCATTCATTGTAGAGCAGGCGTTGTGAGCCTTTCATGAGTTCACTCCTTTTGGATAATGCTCTTTTAATGTGGTTTTGTGACGAAGTTGATGTTTAACAATCAACAACCTCCCTTTGTATCAATCTATTGTTCTCTTCCTCTCTCTCACTCTTTATATGAAAGAAAGAAATATGAAGTAAAAAGAGATAAAATTTGGACAGAGAGAAAGAGACTGGAATGAAAAGAAACAGTGAAAGAAAAAAGGAGAGTAATAAATCTGTGCAAGAAGTGTAGTGGAAAAACAAAACAAACAAAAAGTAACCCAAGAGGTGAAGGGAGGGGAAAGTAAAAAAAAAAAAGAGAGAGAGCAAAAATGAAAGCAATAGAGAGAAAGACATGTTATAGTTCTTTAAATTGATAATTACATTCATTTAGCTTCAAATCCAATTCAATACCTTTTGTAACAATTGCTTATTCTAGACTTGGGTGTAAAAAAGTTAAAAAAAAAAAAAAAATAAGTGAAAAAAAATGTAAAACATATATAAACATAAAAGTATAAAAAGAACAAAAAAGAAACAAAGAAAATGAGTAACTACCATTAAGTTGTTTCGCCTCAATTCTTACATTTTGCAACTCCTTGAAAATTCTCAATTATTGCTTTTTACTTTCTTTCCATAAGCAGATCATTAAAAAAAAGAAAAACTAACTTCCTTTTCAATAGTTTTTGTCTGAATTTTGTTATACAACTGTTTTATCCTTTAGCACTCTGCATTATTAATATTACTTTTCACTGCATTCTTTTTCAAGAGTTCTCAATTGGAGTATCTTTATTGTTAAGTTGTTTTCTGTTGCTATAGCAGGATATGATAACACAACTATGAATTTCAAACATATGATTCTTCAGTTGATCAGAGCCACTTTCAGTGGAAGGCTAAACTTTTTGTACAGCAAATAAAGTCACGTACAGAGTGATAATCATAACTTGCATTCTTCACCAGTTGCATTTTGACTTAACATCCAAATCTTAAAAGTATTAAGTCCACTTAAAAAAAAAATTTTCAGACAAAATAAACTGACAATAGCAATATACAAACTGCTTATCCTTCAAGAAAAGGAAATTATAAAGTGAGGATTATCAAATTAATAAGTAAGCTTCCCTGAAGAGATATACAATATCAGTTTCAAACTGGGTCTAAAAATATTGGTTACCAGGAAACAAAGAAGACCCAACCACAACTACAATGCTATCATTTAATTTTCATAAGGAATAAATAACATTTTCAAAAAATACATATGAAAAAAGGATACAGTTAAAACTTTTGTGAAAAAAATGTGTATTTCTTAGTAATTACAATGTACATGTACTGCACATATTACTGGTAGTAGATACCAAATGTAAATACAGAATGTTATAATCGAATATTTTATTTATTTATTAAAAATTTTAAGTAATTGGTTGATATTTATAAATAATTTCCTGTCCAATTAACACATTCAGTCAGTTATGTACCATGCGTGATACACGCTTAGGCGATCATGTAACTTTCGATACATGACTGACAAGGCAAATTTTTTCCCACAGTAGGTTGCCATTTCTTTCTGCAGTAGACCAGTTACCATCCAAGGCTATAGAACCTGGTCTGTCCTGCTATTTACCCATAGCTGGGGGGAGAAAAAGAGGATTCATACCTTTCCCAAGGGTATTAACACGTAAGTAAATGTAATGGATTCGACTGGGATTTGAACTCGGCTCTTTGATTCCTCAATCCAAGCCGTTATCCATTACTCTACCTTGCCTCCCAATTTACACAATAACAGTTCAAAAGCACAATAGAGCATTGTATGCAGTCCACTATATTAAGAGCAATCATTTGTGTTCACTAGATGACTGTTCAGATCTGCCAATAATTGCTTCTGCATCCAATTCATCTAATTCTTTTTCTACATAGATTTCAAATTCTCCTCAGATAGCGAATTTCTTTACCTTGTCTTTATGATCTTTAGCTTTGAAAATGTCCTCTCACATTGGACTTGAGTAACTGATAGTGTGCAGATGTCTTTATAAAGTTCTTATTCCTTTTTATTACTGAAACAGTTGCCCGTGTGTAATGAAAAACAAACAAGGTAGGAGCTTTACTTGATGCTTTATTCAACTATAAATGGCTAGATGTAGCCATAAATTCTATGCTAACAGTTTCTTTTCCCACACTTCTTGGTTGTGGAACTTCCTTCCAGCTCCATGCTTTCCAGCCAACTTTAATCTGCAAAATTTAAATGCAATGTCAATCACTGTCTACTGTCCTCCTGGTTACTCTTTTCTCTTTCTGCTCATTATTAATGTTTCTATTCCTAATTCTTCCACACCAATAACCCCATTGTGTTTTGGTGGCTTTACTGTCTTGCATGGAGTGATACCAATTATATATATAATATAAATAGTTATACTCATTTAGAAAAAACTTAAGTATTTTGGTTTGTAATTGAACAAACCAATGCCCAAGGGAAAATAAGGGATAAAAAAAGAAAGAACTAGGAACATGAAATTGAGGTGAAAACAATCATCTAGAATCCAAGCTCAGAGTCCAAAGAAAAAAACCTCCAAATGAGTAAAGCAAAAGTAACTATGTAAAGTGCTCAATACACTAAGTAGAGCAAACCTGGATATGAACCTAAAGAGCCAGGTAAACCTACCTAGGTTTCACCTATATGGATCATCAGGGTTAACT